TCATCTGTGCAATACAGGGTCAAATTAAACTGATATCAATAGCGTTCCGTGACTGAGTAATGATAAAAGTCAGCTTGAGCTTTCGATCTACCGCGGAGAATTGGATCGAATCGATGTGACCCTGTGATTATGCCAGCAACATCAACATTTCATATTTCATCGTTTTTCACATTATTTGTGAATAAGAACTTTTTTTGACAAATTAAAACCAAGGTCTCTTTTCCCTGTCTCTTTCCTCTGTATCCCCTGGCATCATTTTAACATTCTCATTTCTCTTCTCTCTGTAATGTACCACTCTGTCTTCATACTCCGATCCTTTTTTCTTCTCCTCTCCTCCTCTTCTTCTCTATCGCAGCTCAATTCAGTGATACTTCCGCTATATTTGCCGTGTATGTGTTTTCTTACTCTATTATGACTACCTCTTTAGATGGAAATAATAAGTAAAGAACAGCGTTCATGCTTCTGTCTTTGGTTATTTCTCCTTCTCTCCTGTCTTTCTGGCCTCTAAATTTGCCATCTCTGATCTTGCTGTAGTACAGTCTCTACTCTGCAGTGTGGAGGCCATCACTGTGAGGAGTTGTCACTCATCATTTTCTTATTCTTCTTCTATCTCCCATCATGCTGTTCGTCCGTCCCTCGCTCCCCCCACCCTGCTCCCTCCACCCATCCATTTTTTCTCAAGTCTCTACTCTCCAAAGCCTGGTGCGTGCTGTGCAGTGTTGTAACGTGGTGGCGAGGAGTCCTAATTTCTCTTCTTCTCCGCTCTTCAATCAAACGCTCTTATTTCTTTCCCCTTCTGCTCCTGTTCTAGTATATCCTTTTTCTCCTTACTCTCATCCCTCCATCTCCTGCTGTCTTAGCTCTGAAGCACACTGTCTGCACTTTGCTGTTCGGGCCAACTGCATAGATTTGCTGCTCCGTCCCGATCTATCATTTACAAAGTGAAGCACTGAGGAATTTTCAGTCACTCTTAGCTGCATCCAGCCTCACTTGTGAGATCCCACCATCCTTTTATTTCACCGTCTTAATCTGTCTGTCCTTCCTTCGTCTTTCCCTTCTTGGCTGGACACTTGCAGTAAACTACCGAGCAAGAATTTTTTGGACGGTCATGTGTGGGAGATGGCGAAGTTCCACGTTAACCCAGCGGAGCAGAACTTGTTTTAGAAAGACATATTGTCAGTGGCAAGTAAACAAATCCTATAAAAACAGCTTTGGAAACTGTTCTGTCATTATCTTAATGATATTTGTGTGACTTTGACACATCCCGTATTCCATCAATAGTCAGTGTTGGTTCTTTTTAACCTTTATCATGATCTTTCCCTTAACTTAAAGCTATACTAATACAATATTTTCATATCAAGAAAAGATCAAATGGCTATGTGTAACGTCAAAGGAGTCAAATCCACAGAGAATACCCCCCTCAACTCTGCAGTTTCCTTTCGCTCTATGGTGCAAACTTTATAATTTCCAGCAACAGGCAACTGTTTTAAAAGAAAAAAAATACAGTGACTAGCTGGTGGACATAGTGGAGCAATTTGCAGGTAAAGGTAAGGATAGGGATAGGGATAGGCTATTTACCATAGGACAGTGGAGGAGACCAAAAAAGAGATAAAAGGAAACTGAATATTGGACTAACATTAAAAATTGAAATAGCTTGTCCCGCTACCCCCAAGTGGCCAAATATTCAGCAAATGCAGGTTTAAGCAAGGATGTTTTCTTTTAGGCATGACCATTAGCATTCCCTGATCTTAACCTTAAGCCATATTTGTGCCTAAAGTCAATCAAAATTAACCATGGTTAAGTGGTAGATCAGAAAATGGTCATATAAATTACTTCTGTAACGCTCTTTTGTGTTTTCAAGTCCACTGAAAAACAATGTTGTCCTGGGGTTGACATTAGAAAATTCCCTTTTGGGGGAAACAAAATGACAAACACTTATTTTGTGTGTTTACTTTGGAGGATTTTCCAGTCCTGTGTTTTTTTATAAAACAATTGAAGCTTCATGTATGACTGTTAACATCATTATAGAGTTTATCTTGACACTGTAGTCAGGTTTTCCTCATTCTATCAACACCATTAGTCAAAAATGCTTTCCCCTTACTCAGTTTTCTCCATCTGCTACTCTTCCCTTTGTTCTGCTCACAACTCTTCTCCTCCTTCCTCCCTCTCTGTCCCTTGTCATTAGTTTTTATCTTCCCTGCTGTACACACCTCCGTTCGTCCTCCATCTTTCTACCTCCTCTCTCCTCAAAAGACAAGATCTTCATGTCTCCCCCCCTCTTCTTTCTGTCTCCATCTGCTGCACTTTGAAGAAAAGACATGGATGAAGGGTTGAAATCTGAGCTCCCGTCATCTTCCTCTTTCCTCTCTGTCTCTCAGCTCCCTGCTTTCCGAAGTACAGCATCTGCTGTGCATGTTGGACCACTGCAGTGGGGAGTTTCTGCTCCATCTCATTCCCCCCTCCTCCTCCTCCTCCTATTTTCTCCCATTCCCCTTCCTCCTCCTCCAATACTCTTCTCAATTCCCTCCAAAGTAGAGGTCGGCCTTTAAGTGTTCTATCATTGCAGAGAAGAGCCTCACTTTCTATTTCTCTCCTCTCTACTGTGGTTGAAGCTCCATCTGGAGTAAAGACTTGCTGATCTCTCCATTTGTCCTTCCCCACCTCCCTCCTTTATTCTCTCTCGCCTCTCCATTCTCCAAATTGTCTGTTGCAAAAATGTTGGCCCTCAGCAATGAAAACTTCTCGGCTTGTATCCGCCTATACTCTCGCCATTCTTAACTCCATCTCTCTATCACCTCACTTCTGCTGTTAAGTGTTGTATTCGTGAGTGAGGGAGTCTTTCAGTCTCCCTCACCGCCCTTGTCTCTCATTCTCCAGCTCACCCACCCCTCCTTCCTTCCATCTGTACCACGCTCTCCTCTTTTCACTCCCATGTACCAAGTCTGTTGTGTGATGTTGTACAACGCAAAAGAGACACACTACAAAAAGTTGGAGCTTACGTTTGAGCTTGTCAGGATTTATTTTTTCCTTTAAAAATTATTTGATTTTAAATGTTCTTTCAGGGCTTTTTTCATCACGTCAAATACAAAAAGGAAACATATTTTTATTGCAATCATAGCCTAGTAATGTGCCTGTATTCATACTCAAACTGCTGTGCATACACCTTTTCACCACTGACAGTGTTGTGAACCAACAGTTTAAGCCAGCACAGTCGAAAGTAATCATTAGCGCCAAAGCACCATATTTATAATGTCAGTCCTTATTTACAGTGTCAAATCTTTCCCACTACTAGCTGTCCTTCTTACCTCCTTTTTCTTTCAAAAATAAAGGGTCTGTTGTGTTATGCTTGACCACTGACACAAGTGGTGTGAAGTTTCAAAATATCATTAAAATTCAGTCTGTCACCAGCCAGTACGGCCATCAATTTGTACAAAATTGGTAAATAAAACAGTTTATCTTTCAAAAGTCGCTGCTTGAATTGGACACATTGACGCACTTGTGCCCATCAGACTCTCAGGTTTGTTTTTCGTCCTCTGTTTTCATTTGTTGTGAGTATTGAGCATTTTTGGAACTGTTCAATAACACATGTTGCTTGCTTTGTTTGGGGCTTTTTCCCTTGAACAAACTAGCTTTTGGCCAGTGAGTACAAAGTAGTTATTAGTGCCTTGTTCAACAAAGATGAAGTAGCAAACATCTTTATCTCTCCTAAAAATTATACACATATGAAATTGACATAAGCGAATATGTTTTGTAAAATGCTTCTCATTCCTATCCCTAAAACACATATTCTAGGCATATGTTTAAAAGGTGTAATTGCATTTGTCTCTCCAAGACGTTTACATAATCTTTACTCCTCCCAAGTGTGGCTACATCAGAAAACTAAGTGTGGAAGTAGCCTCTACATGGGATAGGCCATGTAAAGGCCATGTGAAGGCAGCTGGTGTGGCATTGAAATAAGCTGTCATATCTGCATATCTGCTCACATACGGCGATACAGAAGGCGCACAAAACTGTTGCAGCATTTATCTGAGCCCTAACTGGTTCAACCACTTAATGATCAGTGTTGGTTGGGGGGTGGGGAATGACAGTCTGTCATGAACATAAAAGTTTTGACTCACTTGTAGTCCATAAATGCAAATTATCCACATTCATTTTACTTAACAGATAGTTGTTAGCTACCTAGCTGTTATTGCTAACTGTTTATTGCTGTAATTAACTTGCAAAAGTTATTCCTCCTCTGGCATTACCAACACCCTACTGGAGCAGGCCCTACACTGCTACTGTATGCATGTAGCCTTGAAAATCCAAAATGGATTGAAATCAGATTCATGAACTGTTCTCATGAATTCCATTGACCAAAGTTAACACACAAGCCCAGGCGTGCTACTCATCTGTGTGTGAGACTGTTCATGCAGAAGTGTTTTAAATAGTAAGGTTTTCTCTTGTTAAATGCAGCCCCCATTTACTTCAAATCATCTAGAATTTTCTGTGTTCAGATTCTCTATACACTGTGAAGGCATATGAGATAACCAACGTTTTCCTCATGAATTAAATGTAACACAGGGTGAGTAAGTGATATATATTTTGTGGGTGAAGTATTCCCTACGATGCAGTCTCCTTGAACTATCGCCTCTGGAAATTGAAGGCTTAGCAGTTTCATTTAAGCACCTCAAAAATGAGGGAAAGTGGTCTTGGTTAACTACTAAAAAAATCAACACTAACTTAGAGCAAATGAAGGAATGTGCTGACTTTTTAAGTACATATGTGGAGAAAACTACTGTAACCAATTGTTCTTGTAGCCTTAACCTACAGACAAGATGTCTGTCTGACTTTCTGGACTGTAAACAAGGCAACATTTATATAGCCTCCAAAACATATTTGGCAAAGCAAATTATCCTACTTGTACGTAACTTATAGGACATGGCATTGCTTTATTGACACTTTCATAGTTTCTCTTGTCCCCCTCCCCATGAATCCGTCCATCTCTCCCTCCCTCTCACCTCTCTTCTCTCCAAAGTACAGGGTCTGTTGTGCAGTGTTGGACCATTGCAGTGAGGAGTTATCGCTCTCGGGCACCCGGCAGGTCAGTGTCACCGTGCCCCCCACAGACACCATCTCATCTGAGGTCACTGGCTGCAAAGGGTCGTCGTCTAGGTAACAGGGGAGAGAGATTGAGAGGGAAAAAATCATAAGACAGAGCGACAGAGCAGCAGCAGGGACAAGTCAGAAAGACACTGCACTTATATGAAAATACAAGCAAAAATAGTAGCACACACCAACACACAAATCAGATAAACCCACAAAATGCATTACTTGCCTCGCTCTCTCTCTCTCTTTCTCTCTATCTCCCCCCACCCATCTCTTTCTCCGCTTGTCAGATTATCTATATATCTCTATCTGTCTTTCTGAAAGCAAAGACTCAATGCGCACACACACACACACACACACACACACACACGGACATGCTGTCAGAGGGACAAAAAAAGCAGACAAATGGCTATCTGGTTGTATGTCTGCGAGGCCAATGTAAGAGCGATGAGTCAGTAGCAGCACTGGCATCGAGAGACTGCAGGACCTGAGGGACCAGCAAAGATGAAGAGACCACGGCAGACAGTGGCTTTCGACAGGTCAAAGCAACAACAAGAGTACTGTCTCATACCTCTAATGGCTTTGTAACCCTCTTTTGTCAATATCTGTGTCAGTTTTTAACGCCATGCATATGTATTGGCTGGTACATAACAAGCTCAAACGGGACAGGCATTATGGAAATGAGCAGGTCAGAGGGAAAGAGAAAGAGAATACAAATGACCCAGCATAATGAAGGGATTCTAAAGGCTGGAGCTGGAACTGGAACACCACAAAAAACACAGAACAGTGAACTGGGTGTGTAACAGTATTCAAATTGGCTCAAATTATGGTATTTAACAGCACTCCCTTGATAACGGGTGATGGTGCAGGCTAATTCTGCTCTGTGGATTTAGTGAGGGTGGCAGACAATTATGTGAATCAGAAGAGGGGATGTATATTAAAATATGCAGTCCCTCGTAATAGTTATAAATGCCGAGTCTGGCCGCTATGGCGCTTTTTTGCGGAGTTAAGTTATTGCAGCTTTGAGTGCACCCAGCCATGCTTTGCGCTCCCCTCCCATCCTGCTCACTTCAATACAAGCCAGAGCTCACTCAACCTAATCTCAAGCAAAAACAAAAATATGGCATAATTGACAACAAGACCAAGCCAACAGAGGGAACATCTCCTAAGAAGATATGCCCCAAAGCAGTCTCCTCACCCCTGAAAATATGGCGTGTATAAATAGTTTAATTGGAACCAAATTGTCAAGCGGGAGACAGGTTTATATTCGGCGTGGAGCGTTATCACATCCTTGCACCGGCGGTGGAATTGATTTTTTTTTTTTCTGCAGGAAGAACATCTGCTTAAGTGCGCTTCGGCGGAACTCCCATCAAGACATGAAAGAGGGGGGGACACGCGAAGAGAGGATGCAGAAGAGGAGGCGAGCAAACTAAATGCATGTAGCATCAAAAACACACATTTGCAGAACATGAGCTGAGAGCAGCAGGCAGCAAGTATGGGTATCTTTTTTTTTGTCATTTTAAAGCCAGTTTTATGGCTGGTTCAGCATCTCAGAGAACACAAATTATTAGAAAAGGAAAAAAACTCTTAGGTTTGCCTCTGGGCTGAGAGGATTCAGAGGTCTTAAAGGTACAGCTGCTGTTCGCCTGTAGGATTCAAACGGTACTCAGAGACTTCCAGAGCGCTTTGTGTCAGGGTAAGTCGCTCCCTCTCTCTCTGTGGTGTTTCACTGCAGCCCTGACCTTGTGGTTAGTTTATCTAAGCACCATGATGGCTGAGGGCTGAATGTGTGGTCAAGTGCAGCGCGGATTAGTGTCTCCTTTAATAGCATCTTGGGCTAATTCTTGCGGCTGATCGCAAGAGCTTCTCTTCTTGGCATGAACACTTTGGGTAAATTGGCTGTCCCAGTGCATCACTCATCAGGCCAACCGCAATGAGCTGCGACAAGTTAGCCAAACTTGCGTCTTGTCTTTGGATGCTGCAGAAAGCTGGCGTGTCCGACCAGGAACAACCTGTGTTCGAGGCTCAGAGTGACATTTCTGCTGGTACAATTTCAGTGGTCAATTAGTGGATTATCAGAAATGACCATAATTTGAGGAGATATCTGCCTTTTAAGTGGACATATTTTTACAGAACTCTTTACATAATATCCACCGAAAAAATCCCAGTTCATACAATCATCATGCCATGCTCAACTCATTGAGCTACACAGAGCCTCTGACCTGTTGAACTGTCATTTTACCCTTAAATTTCCTTTCAAAAACCTTTAAATAATGTAGAAACAAACCAGTTTTCCACACTGCAAGACACTGCCACATATAGTATATTCTCTCCGCATTAAACTTGCATAATGTTTACACCACCAGAAATTAAATAAAGTCTTGTGGGCTCAAATTAAGCTTGCCCTTTTAATATATAATGTCCCATCTATTGGTCTAGAGACCTGAAGAGGATGCATGCCATACATTTAGTGGTAGCAAATTATTATTTGGTCATTTCAAAGTTTTTTTTATTTTCATTTCAATTTATTGATCTGGGGCACGAAAGGCCTAAAGGTTAGATAAGTGGGAAGCTTGGAAGATTGCAGTTTCGATCCACAGACTGCCCGGGTAAATCTAACAGTAAAAGAAGTACTTGTAGCTTGTTCATTACCACTTCTGGAGTGCCTTCAAGCAAGGCACTTAATCCCAGAGGATCTCAGTGGCTAAACAAAGCTGACTGTGCATGCAGTGGGTTGCGAAAAACTTTCTATATTAATTAATGCAAGCTAATACATAAAGGTTAATCTCAGTCTTATTGAGTGAAATGTTTTAATGATGATTAAACGCCACTCTGGATCTTGAATTTAAAGCTCCAATAATGCATACAAATCACTTGATGTACAGTATAAAAGTATATGGCAGCAACCTTGTTAGCCCAAATATTAATCACAGATAAGTTTGGTTTAATTTAGTGGAGCCCCATGTGGGCAGAATTTGTGTGCATCAGGATAATGTATAAATCGTTAAGCAATGTCTCAAATGGATGTAAAAATTAATTATATGGTCAGAAGAGTGGGGTTGGCAGCGGTGGGCATAAGAGAGATTAGGCTATTTGAAATATGATAAAAGTTTTTGTGGTTGACAAATTCAATGGCACATCCTGACTGTCCTAATGGCGCACCCGAACTCATCCACCGGTCCAAACTGGTTTACACAAACACTATAGAGTCCCTCGCCAGTAGCATATGACCCCTATAAGCCTCAGATACAGATACAGCTGTTCTTCTTACCTTTGAAGCTACTTAAGAGCAAAGTTATTTAAGGGGGGAAATGAAGTTCAACCAGAGTTTAAACGGTTAAGTCAGGCTAAACACCCGAGCTGCAGAAATAAAAGGAGAGACCTATCTATCCTTAGCAGACGTTAAGTTAAACACTGTGGCTTGCTCTTCTTTCTTCTCGCCTCGCACCCACTCCTCCACTAACCCCCCCCCCAAGCTGTAAGCCCGAAGAAGACATGGGTATTTAAAGCAACACAATTTACACTTTCTCTAGCCGGCAACAAGGTGAGAGAACGCAGAGGTAGAAGACTGGGGTAGCAAGTCAACGGAGGGAGAGAGGAGGAATGGATAAGGGTGTGTTCTGTCGAGGAGGGTGGGTGTTAAAATGAGGCGGAAAAAAGTGTGTGTGTGTGTGTGTGTGTGTGTGTGTGTGTGTGTGTGTGTGTGTGTGTGTGCATGTGTGTACCTGTGTGTGAAAAAAAAACGTGAGGGAGGGAGGTAGAAGAGGAAGCAAGTGAGACAACAGAGGAAGTGTGAGGAGCTTGAGGGCCCTCAATTGATGAAAAAAAGAGGAAAAAAAGGGAAAAACTTAAAGAAATAGTTTCAGTCTCATTTTAAAAACAGGCTCGTTTGCTCTCTGTCTGAAAGTTAGACGAGACGATCGATATCCATTTCATGTCTGTGCGTAACATACAGAGCTTCGGTAATGGCATGTTTAACGTAGCATAAAGATTGGACGCAGGTGGCGAACAATTAGGCTGTACAAAGAGAGAAAATAGACCAAATACTCAGCATTAGGAGTCCCTCAACTATCACAAAGGAAGCAAACTAATTAACACTGCCAAATCTGGTTGCTTGGGTCCCTTTTTTATTGTTTCAGGTCTAGCCTACCTAGACTACGGTGGCGCATGACGCTGCTGCTGGTGTTGATGTTCTCTTTTAATGGCTGTTTAAGTCACCCACATTTTGGACCATTGCTAAATATCGTTGGGCTCTAGGATATGTTAATAGGCCAAACTATTAATCGTGAAAATTAACAGCACATTAATTGATAAGCAAAATAACTGTTAGTTGCAGTCCTTCTGGGAAGGTTTTGTAAATATAAAACCCTAATGATTATTTTTTTTTCATACCAGAAACAGTAAAAACTGGCCTTGATTACAGTTTGAGGGGTCCTTTCTGTTTTTACAGATACATCTTTTATAATGGTGCTCTGTTGGGAATGCAGAGGATTTTAATTTGTTGCATTCCCCTGCTTTCCTACTGGGGCAAATTGGCAGCAGGACTGGCTCACATGCTACATATCCAGCTCTATCAACACATGTATGGAACAACCCTGAGTCTTGTCATTACAGTGACAAGACTCAGGGTTGTTCCATACATGAGTCTTGTCACTGTAATGACAAGACTCAGGGTTGTTCCATACATGAGTCTTGAGTCTTGTCATTACAGTGAGTCTTATCATTACAGTGAGGTTGCCAGGTTTGGTGCCATCACGCTGTACAGAGACCAAAATGGGGTGCTCAGTAACCGTTTCTGGCAACCCTTATCTGGAGAAGCTACAAAGAAGTGCTGGATGGATAAACGAAGCCCTCCAAAAATCAAATGAAGCCATTTTATATTTTTGTATTAATTAAAGACACATTGTGTAAATTAGACATATTTACCATTGTCAATAGGTGCATTTTTTCCCCCACTGTACCCGCGTCCAGTCTTTCAGCTAAGCTAGAACACACACATAAGACTGGTGTCGATTCTCATATCTCCAGCCATGAAAAAAGCAAATAAGTGTTTCACAAAAAT